TGATATTTTTCGGGTTCCAGCATCTCTGATATATATTTCAAATTCTTTCATCAACTTATTTTCAAGTTTTTTAGTTATATTAGTACTTGTTAACATCTTGCATTTCTCTGCAGCTGTGTGTGTGGAGCATTGATACGTGGGAGAAAAGGAAATCGGTTCCAATCCAAATCCCAGCTGGAAAGGCACCTACGGGTGACACTCGAGTTCAATTTCACTCGGATCAAATTCGCATGCTGGTGGTTCATGAAACACAGCTAGCAATATATGATGCCTCCAAAATGGAGCGCATCCGACAGGTAGTAAACTCAAAATGTGGCATGGACTTTGATGATTTGCTATCTCTTTTACACGAGGGAACACTGTCTAATGCCATTTCATTTGCTGCAGTGGATTCCACTGGATGGACTACCTGCGCCCATATCTTATGCAACATATTCTTGCAACAGCCAATCTGTTTATGCTACCTTTTGTGACAGTAATATCGGGGTGTTCGATGCTGATAGCCTGAAACTTAGATGTCGTATCGGCTCGACAGTTTACTTGCCACCAGCAATCTTGAAGGGGCAAGTTATCTGCAACTTTATTCCATGCAATGCATATATCATTCGGTTTATATAATATAACCGGACTGTTAATCTGGTTCGTTTTACAGAAACAAAGCTGTATACCCGCTTGTCGTCGCTGCACACCCAATGGAGCCAAACCAATTCGCAATAGGTTTTAGTGACGGATCTGTGAAAGTGATGGAGCCATCCGAATCTGAAGGGAAATGGGGAGTGAGTCCGCCAGCGGATAACGGTGTGGCGAATGGTAGAACGACATCGTCATCTACCACAAGAAATCACACCCGATCAGTTACAAAGATGAGATATGTTTTTTATAGTATTGAAAAAGTCTTTTATGTGTGGCTACAAATGTATTGGGTTCTTATTTTTAAGCCTTCCCTGTGTACCATTGCAGCCCTAGATTTTTATGAATGAATGCCCCAATTCTTGTATAACCCTCATTACTTGATTGAGATGGCTTTCTTAGTTTTACTTGTACTTAGCCCCTTGAACTTTTGTAAATATAATTAATATAACCCTGAATGTTATTTTGCATCTATTGTGTTCTTTAAACTATGAAATACATCAATGAGATTCGATCTAACCCAATTTTATTAGGTCACGGTTTCTAAAAAAGTGAATTTGCTCAGGTCAACTTTTTTAAATGGCAAGCTCAGGTCGGATTCGGTTTTAGGATTAAAAATACCCTATCCAACACAAAAATAATATAATTATACATTATATATATAAAGATAACTACGTTAATAACCCTCTCTATATTTATTTTTTTCAAATAGATCCCTATTTTATCGAATAAAATTAATTATTTTTTATAAATATATTTATTTCAGGTCAGTTCTAATCGAATTCAAGTTTTATCTCAAAACACGGATCACGTTTCAAGTCGAGATTTGAATAGGGTGAAGTCACCCAATTTCAAGTGAATGACATTTTTTTTAATTGAATCGGGTTGGACGAAACCCGGCCCATGACATCCCTATTTACTCAAATGGTCTTTAATTAAAATGTTTTATCTCTATTTTTTGAAGTCATCCCTAATTTCATCTCTATTTACTCGAATGGTCTTTAATTATTTAATCAAATCAAATTAATTAAAAAATTAAAATGTTTAATTATTTAATTAAATAGGGTAAATTATGACTGTAGTACTTAAATTATCAGTTTGGTCCATTTTAGTACCTAAACTTTCAATTTTTTCAAAAGCATACTTAAAATTTAGTTTTTATTTCGTTTTAGTACCCATGTTCAAAACTTAACATTAAGTTTTGATTTTTTTTGAAAGTTTAGGTATAAAATGGGCCAAAATTGATAGTTTAGATACTAAACGTTTTAAGTTTTTAACGACAGATATTAAAATGAAACAAAAACTGAACATCAGGTATGGCTTTGAAAAAAATGAAAGTCTAGGTACTAAAACCGACCAAAAATGATAGTTTAGGTATTAAATGCATAATTTACCCAATTAAATATTGTATAAAAAATAAAAAAAATTAGTTTAATATTAAAAGATTAGATAAACTTCACTTTTAATACCTTAAGTATCACTTTTGTTCCATTTGGTCATTAAAGTATTTTTTGTTTCAAAATCATACCTAAAGTTACATTTTAATCACCCAACGTTAAAAATTAATGGTGATGCTAACGTGTCACAATAAGGTAACGTCATATCATCATTGATTTTTTTTTTTAAAATGCCAAGTCAGTAGTTCTATTAATTTTTTAACAAAGGGCGATCAAAATGAAACCAAAATGTAATATTAAGTATGCTTTTGAAAAAAAAATGAATAGTTAGATGACCAAAATGGAACAAAAATGATAATTGAGGTACTAAATGTGTAGTTTATCCTAAAAGATACTAAAAACTTGCGCTAGAGAGTCTCAATCCAGATTCTAAATTGGTTCCTAAAACACATCCTGGTTATTATCAAACTCTTCTTCTTCTTCTTCTCTACCTTGCTCTTACTCCTCTCTTGCTACTTTTTCATGCGAGTCTATCAACATTTTAATTTTGTTTTTTGCTTATATTAGGTATATTTTGCTCAAATTTTTGTTATCGAAAATTTCTTATGACAAGTATGTTATGGTTGTTAAATGAAATTGACAAATTTAGGGATTTAAGAAGAGAAAAGATAATTTAGGATTTAAGAAACATGGATTTTTCATTGAAATCACCAGAATGAATTCCCCTTTACACTCCATTTGCACATATATTTCTAGTACAAGAATCCTAAGAAATTATTATATTCACAGACGGCAAAACTAACATAACCGTTGTACTCCTCTTTTCAAGTTTTGGACTGTTGATGACCCGGTCCAACTTTTCCTTCAAGCAATTGGTCTGCTTCTTCTGGGCTCAGTGGTGTTGGGCCTCCCAAACTCAATTGATCAGCCCCTCTTAATTCAAAACTCCCTATTTTTTTTCCATACTCTCCATTTTGCTAATACACCCCGTTTCATTAACCATTTCCGACTCCCATTTTTCCTTTTTCTACTCGCGACAAACCCCCAATTTGTTTAACGAAATCCCTAATTTCTTCCCCATTTTCTCTGCGAACATAACATTACCATCTCCTTTAATTGATCATTGTCCCTAAGGATCAAAGTCTAGAAATTGAGACTTCAACACACTATAGTCTTCCCAAGTCACATTTTCTACTGCCAAATTGGGCCACTGTATCAAAAACTGAGTCACGCTCTTGTTATGCCTCTTTAAGACCCTTTTGTCATGAACAATGGCTAGGTAGACCTTTATATCTCCATCATCGCTGATCTCTGGAGGATTTTTTATGGAAATTACTTCTTTACCCACCTTTTTCTTCAATAAGCTCACATGAAATACCGGGTGAATTTTTTAATTCGGAGGTAGTTTCAGTAGTTTCCTTTATCCTTTCTAATTTTATTATCCTTTCTATTTTGTAGGGGCTATAGTACTTGGCGGCCAAATTCAAATTCTTTCTGACAGCCACTGATGATTGTTTGTAGGGTTGCAATTTAATGTAAACTTCCTCTCATTCATCAAATTCTCGATCTGTTCTATTTTTGTCTGCGTTTTGTTTCATACGATTCTGAGCCTTAGTTAGGTTCTCTTTCAATATTCTTTGTAGTTGCTCTCTTTCTTCCATCAACTCTTGTACTGAATTAATAGTAGTATCAACTGTCCAACTCATCATGGGAGGCTTGTATCCATACAAAGCCTCAAATGGTGTCACCTCTAAGGTTGTATGATAGTTGGTGTTGTACCACCATTCAACTAAAGGTAAGCATTTAGACCAAGTCCCTAGTCTCAGATATGCTTCTTAAATAATGTTCTACACAATGATTCAACCTCTCAGTATGTCCATCCGTTTCAGGATGATAGGATGTGCTAAACAAGGTGGTAGTGCCTAATTGTCACATCAATTCCTTCCATAAAAGACTTGTGAAAGTCTTAACCCTGTCTGATATGGCCATCTTAGGAGGGCTATGCAACTTGTACACCTGATCCAAATAATTTCTTGCTATTTTAGTTAATGTATAGGGATGAGAGATAACAAAAAAATTCCCATACTTAGTGTACTTATCCACAACCACTAATATGCAATTGGATTTCATTGACTGTGACATTCCTTTAATAAAATCCATGGTTATAACTTCCCATGCTTGGTTAGGAATAGCAATAGGTTGTAACAGCCCTGATGAAGCCACATGTTCTCCTTTTGTTCGCTGACAAACCTCACACTTCATCACATACCCTTTAACTTGAGCCTTTAATCCCTTCCAATAAAATTATGGCTTAATTCTCTGATAAGTAGCTTGGACTCCTGAATGTCCTCCTCGGGAAGAATCATGCAAGCATTCATTCACCTTCTGTCTAAGGTTTCCATTTTCTCCCACATAAATTCTTTTTTTTTTGTACCTGAGTATTCATTTTATCCATTTCCACCTTGAATATTCTTCTAGATTAATTACTAAAGCTATAATGAATTTTTGAGCCAAAGTGTCCCCTTGGTAACTCTCCTCAATTTCCTTAACCCATTCTGGAACTAGTACAGTGATAGTCATTAATAATCCTCCATCTGTGTCCTCCATCTGTGTCAATTCTGTCCCATCTTCAAATCTTCTTGATAGTGCATCTGCAACCACATTCAACCTACCCTTCCTGTAGTGAATTACATAATCTAGCCCCAGTAATTTAGACAACCCCTTTTTTGAATGGTAGTAGTTAATTCTGCTCTAGCAAATGTTTGAGTGGTTCATGGTTTATTTTGATTATAAACAGTCTATTCTCCAAATAATGTCTCTACTTGGAAAAAAAAACTTTAAGATGGCTATGTATTCCTTCTCATAGATGGATAAATCTCTATGTATCGGTCCCCCAAAGCCTTGCTTAAGTAAGCCAAGGGTCTTCCATCTTGTTTCAGCACAGCTCATATTCCCTTTTGACTTGCGTCTGCCTCCAAACAAAAAGTTTTGTTGAAATTTGGAAGAGCTAAGACATGAGCCTTACACATGGCTTATTTTAATTCTTTGAATGCTTCATCTGCTTCTAGACCCCATTAAAATACTTTATTCTTCAGTAAATTAGTGAGAGGTTTGCTGATTTCACCATACCCCTTAATACATTTTCTGTAATCATCGGTCAGTCCTAGGAAACCTCTTTAGGACTTCAAATTCTTGGGTGTTAGCCACTGTTTTTTAAGGTTCAATAGAAACTTCTACTACAGAAATGATGTACCCTAGGTACTCCACCTTAGGTTATCCAAAAAAAACATTTATTCTGCTTAGCATATAATTGATTACTCCTTAATACTCCCAATACCACATTTAGGTGTTGCTTGTGTGTTAGATCAGGATTATACACTAATATGTCATCAAAAAAATACTAGCAAAAACTTCTTCAAATAAGGACCAAATAAGTCATTCATTAATGCTTGAAATGTAGCAGGGGCATTAGTTAAGCCAAAGGGTATCACCATGAATTCATAGTGCCCTTGATGTGTTCTGAAGGCTGTTTTAAGAATGTCTTCCTCTTTCACTCTGATATGTCAATATCATGACCTTATATTTACCTTGGAAAAATAGGAAGTTTCTGCCAATTCATCAAGCAAACCCTCAACTACTAAAATGAGAAACTTATTTTTTACTGTCACAAAATTTAGTTGTCTATAATCCACACACATCCTCCATATCCCATCATTTTTCTTCACAAGTAAGCAGAGTGAAGCAAAAGGACTCCTGTTGGTTTGGATAATTGAAGTAGCCAACATTTCATTAATTTTGATTTTCAACTTCTGTCTTTTGAGTGTGAAGAAACCTGTAGAGTCTGAGGTTAATTGGTTGTGTTATCTCTTTTAATACCATTGCATGATCATGGTTCCTGATGGGAGGCATCTTTTTATGTTCCTTAAAAATATCTTTGTATTCTTCTATCAATGGTTGTAATTCTGTTGGGATTTCTGGCTCCACTACTTTAATATTTAAAAAGTAAGATTCCCCAATTACTTCAGTGCCTTTCCCAGTCAATTTCATCATTTTAGCTTCTGAAACTATTCTTATAGGTAATTTCTTTTGATGTCCTTCTAGTTTAACTTCCTTATCTCCCATCATAAATGTCATTGTGAGTTCCCTGAAATTCATAAGACTGTAATAGCCTATCCAATCAACTCCTAGCACCATATCACTTTGTCTCATATTTAAAACTCTGAAGTCAAACTCAAACTCATTTCCTTGCATCTTCCAACTTAACCTCTTGCTTCTAGCAGTACTGTATAACTTGGAAGCATCAGTAAGGGAAATTGTTAGATTACTAGTTTGCTCTACGTCTACTCCTTCTTTAGCCCATCTTGGTGTGATGAAATTGTGTGTGTTGTCACTGTCCATAAAATATTCAAGGTTTTGCCTTTAATCACCCTTTGCAGTCTTATATTGTTAAGCCCATCACTGCCTGTTAATGCATGTATAGATATAGCCAAAGCACATTATTCTCTATGCTCTACTTTTTCCTCATTTTCTTCTTCTTCTTCTTTCAGTATTTCTTCTTCTTCTTCCATTATGTTGAGCTGTTTGAGTTTGCATTGATGATCAGGAACAAAATTTTCTCCACATTTAAAACACAAGTTATGTGTTCTTTTGTATTCAATCAATATTTGTTTGTTTTGAGGATTCACAGCAGCCTTAGTAACATGGTTTGAGCCTGTTATTTTTTAGGGTTAGTGTATGTATAATATCCTCAATATCGGGTTAGTGACCAAATTGAAATATTTCAGAATTTTTTGGTCAAAGAAAAATAGTTGAATAGTTTAATGATTTATTTGGGGATATTTCCTGAACGTTTTTAGTAATTATCCAAAGAATTAAAGGGCAAAATGGTCATTTGACAAGAAATATATTTTTCCCTTATATGAATGAATCACGTGGGGGAAGAGTTATATTCTTCTTTCTCTTCTTCATTTTCTTCTCCAACTGTGGAAGCTAGGCAAAGGTAAGAGTTTTCTATTTTGTTGATTATTTGTTGAGTTAAAGGTTGGGTTTTGATCATTAGATGATAATTAAGCTTAAGGAAAGCTTAATTTGTTCTAAAACAACAAAATGAAAGGTATATGAGAGATTAAAGATTTTGAGTTCTTGAATGAAATCTTGAAATAGAGTTGATAAGTTGAATTTGACTTGTCATCTATTAGAATAAGAAGTTAGAAGTGTTAGAATTCAGTTTGGATAACATGGAAAATTTGGTATGATTATTGATTTCTATATGGAGAATAGAATTTTGAGGTTTAAGATGAAATAAATGGATATAAATTAGTTTAAGCATGTATATTTGAGTTAAGAATATGAAAGGGGATGAAATATGAAGAATTGAAGTGGAAATAGAGAATTTTCGTGCAATGAACAGTGATTTCTAGGCTTGAACGAAAATTCCAGATTGTGCAGGGGGAACATATTCCCCCTAAATGAAAAATGGAATTTTAGTTCATTAAACCGGCTTAAGTAATCAACATCAAGTTTAAGGTTTAAGCTTCTGATAGTTGTTTTGAAATGTTATATTTATGTAGATATTGAGCCTAAACAAGTTCCGGAATAATCAAAGGATTAGGATCGAATCAAAGCAAGGCTAAGGTGTGTGCAATTTATTTTGTACTTAGGTTCTTGAACAAACATTGGCTTGCGATGAGCCAATGATGGAGTTACTATGGTAAGAAGTAACTTTTAAAATGTTATGTGATTATTATGTGTGTTTGTAAATAGAAATGGATATATATATATTCTTATATGTTACATGATTTACATGTTTACATGAAATTGCACTAGTGATGTATTGGAAACATATGAGAACAAGAGATGACATGATTTGTATGAGGTATGAATTCATGAGTAAAGGCATATGTGAATATAATTTGTATCCATTATATGTCATGTGAACATAAGAGGATAGAGCATGTTATATGATATAAGAATAAGTGATGAAACACAAATGATATATATGTTTATGTGAATCCATGCAAAGTGATATGAGCTATGTGACATATTAATATAAATTCATATGAAAAGTGACATGAATTACAAGTAAGTAAACTATGTGATTATATGCACATGTGATATGTGATCATAAGAGCAATGATATGAGTACATGAATATATGAAGCAAAAGAAAAATGACCATGTTATATAATACAAGAGCTATAGGTATAGTTGGCATGCCAAGAGTCGAGGGTCTATGTGGTCCTTCAGGATATATACAGTGGTCCATCGGGACAAATACATAGGTCCTTCGGGACAAATTTCATATGCCACTCAGTGGGACTTATACGAGTTGTGGTGACAACATTAGTGCACAACCTCAATGTACTTACATACCTTCAGTTCTCACCAGTGTACCATGGGCTAATAAAGAGATAATATCAAATATAATATATTATCGTATTTTCTTAAAAAGAGTTCAAAGGTCTTGATATTTTGTAAGAAAAAGGTTTTGAAAAGTCAATGTGATATTTCAGACTCGTATTCTGGTTGGATACGGGTTAGGGTGTTATATTTAATGGTATCAGAGCTACGGTTTAGCCGATTTTAGACTAAAAACGAAGTTAAAAGTGTTTTAAAGTATACATGGCAATACAAAGTGAAAAAATTTCTGATCTGATAGTGTAAGGAGTATAATGTCTTGATAATAGAGTTAAAGTGTTATGTTATATTAGATGTATGATCATAAGAGTTTCCAAAGTGAAGCATAAGGCAATAGACTGAAGGTAATAGCATTCACTTGCCCTGGCCAGGCAGGGAGAAGAGCGAAAAACTTCAGAGCGTGCCTGTACAAGATTAGAGAATGTTTCATGATGTTAAATGATATTATGACGTATTTTTAATTTTATACTTCTATAATTCATAGAATGAATGTATTTGAAAAGAGTTAAGAGCACCCGATTTTAAGGGTGAATTTGAGGAAGGTTCTGTTGTTACAGACCTTTGGTTAAATGATATGAAGATAATGCTGGAAGGTGTTCATTTCTCCAAATGGGAGAAATTAAATTGAGAAGTTTCGTTACTACGTGGATAAGATAGAATATGGTGAACGAATGTCACCATAAGAACATTAAAAGATCAAGTGACGTGGTTATGATTTATAGAACAGTTCAAGAATAAGTAAATGGATGATCGATTTATAAGACGAATGAAGTTAGAATATATGAGCTTGAAGCAAGAGAATTACACATACATGTGTATGAAAGTAAGTTTAATAAGTTAAACAGATTTATTGTTGAGTTGATTCTGATTAAGAAGGATACATGTGATTGGTTGTTTAGGGCTTGCGCCTTAAATTAAAAGAGTGTTATTGGTTTTGAATTTGTTCTCGTTTCAAGAAATGGTTAATTGCGCTAAAGCTCTAGAGAGATAGCTCGAAATGAAATGATTGGAGAACAAAAATCTCAGACGATTAAGAAAATTAGTGCTTCATAAAGTTAAACACCATCAAAGAAAGATAGAGATTATGGTTTTCAACTTTAAACTAGATATGAATTAGTTGTATTCTCCGTTAGAGAATCAAATCAGATGAGAGTTCGACAGACTCCAGCAGTAGGGTTTAATCTTGAAAGATTAAACAATGATTTAATTGATAATAAGTCAGGGTTAAAGACAACCTTTGTGAATTGGATGAAAAGCTCTATTAGAAGTTATGTAAATCGAAGTAGAAAAAATATTTTAAATGGATTAGATGAATATTGAAATCTGGTGATTGTTGAAACAAGTAGAGAAATTGACTATCAAAGTCATGAAAATGTGATAAGGAATGATAGTTAAGGATAAATATATGTGATATAAAATAGCATGGGAGTATGAAGGACATGGGTATGGTTTAGTTATGTATAAGACAAAGGTAAATGGAATGGTTGAATTTGAACCAAAGGAATTGTATTATGGACGAATGAGAATGAAGGTTTGATAAGTGATGAAAATAACGAATGAATTATTTTGACTGGAAAGAATATATATATATATATGGATAGTTTGATGAATGTTTATGTTTTGATGGAAAGAAATAAGTTGAATAATAAAGTAGTGTGATGGTGAATGTATTAAAGTTAAAAGATTTGTATGTTTGACGAAAACTAAGGATTGATAGAAAAGTTAAGAGGATAAAGAAGGAAAAATATAAATGATATGAAATGAATGTAAGAGCATAAGGGAAAAAGGCAATGAAAGAATTAAAGTAATGAAGTGAAGTTTATGATAGCACGAAAGATTTATTGAAGAGGTGATATGTGAAAAGGAATATTAGAATTGTAAATAGTATTGTGTACAAGCAAGAGTGTGGATATGATAAGGGATTTGAATTATAGATGGAAAGAGTTAGCAATGGCTAACAAAATTATGTGATGAAAATGTATTGGAATTATAAGATATTGTCAGGTTATGATAACCAAATATGAAGTGGATTCGAATGCAATGAATATTTTAATTATGTAATGTGATGGAGTGAAAGAGATAATGATTTGAATGCTCAAGAGAAGATAAATAGTAATAGAAAAGTTTGAGAATGAGTATGTCAGTGAACAATTTATAAGATAAAGGAAATTATAACGTTTGATTTTG